CAGCCTCCTGGAGCCGCTTGGCCTTGGCACGCCTGTTCTGGAACCAGATCTTCACCTGGGTCTCGGTGAGGCTGAGCGAGCTGGAGAACTCGGCGCGCTCGGCGATGGACAGGTACTGCTTCTGCCGAAACTTCCTCTCCAGGGCCAGGAGCTGGGCTGTGGTGAAGGGCGTCCGGGGCTTTCTGTTCGTCTTGTGCTTGCGCAGGGTGCAGGCTGGGGGGCTGAGCCGCCCTGTGCCCAGAGGACGGGGGGGAAGGAGAGAGACACCTGGGGTAGCAGCGCCCGAGCCTGCACGCCCCGCAGAGCCCCTGCCTGCAGCAGCTGGGGAGGAGAGAACACGAAGTGAGGTCCCGCTCCAAGCCAAGCCGGCCAGAAACTCCAGGGCACACTTCTAACTGATGTTTCTTTCCGCTTCCAGTAAAGAAAGCGTGCGCTTCACGAAGGAATTAGGCTTTTCAAGACTCCGGGGACTGAAGTTACTCACAGTGCCTCGTAGCAAGAACCTCCTCAACCCCATGGAAAAACTCAGCAAAGGACAGGAGTCAGACACCCACACCCCACAGCCCCTCGCCTTCACGGCTCCCAGCTCATACAGAGGAGACATAAATGAAGGGAGCGACCCTCCAAAAAAATATGTCCTGTCCTTTTTATTGGATTAAGAAAAAAAAATAAACAAAACTGGCTGGCTTCTCAGACTCGCACCCTCTTCATTAGGCCCCTGGGAACCGGATTAAGCATGTAATTAATTATGAGCTTGGAATTCACACTCAGCCTCTATCCGCCACTCTTTACTGGTCTGCTCCTCTCCTCTTATTTAAGATTTCTAAGGGTCCTCAACCTCGGTCTGCCCCGGGTTTACTTCGCAACAAAGACTTATAGCTTGCAATTTAAATAAATTAAACCCACTGCGATATTCTACACAAGTCCCTTTTCGGGAAACCTGCCTTTCTCCATCGGAGAGAGGAAGCATCTCTGCTCAAAGCACCCCGAACGCTCCGGAGAGCCCGAGCCCCCTCTCGCTCCTTTCCCGGGGAGCCCGGGCGGGGAGTGAACAGGACCCGGCCGGGGGCAGGCGGCCCGGGCTCTCCCGCCCCGGG